AATTAAATGCGTATTACAATTCGAGTAAGGCTACATCACAATTTTATAATTCGAATGATATACATATAATTGTGCATAACATTTAGATAAGTGTTTGTATGTTTCACAGCATGCTTTCGATAAATATCGAATTTACATCATTGCGGTAGTTCTGGCTATTTCACACAATTAACAAGAAACTTATACCTTATTCTTTTGCATAAACATGCAATGAAAGTAAAAATTACATAAACGGATGATCAAACTTGACATCTTTATATATAAAAATTAAATGTAGAAGTGAATTTTAAGTTGGTACTTTAATTTAAGTGGCAACTTTATTAGTTTCGACTTAGTGGCTGCACTATGAATACGCGCCAATGTTAATTAAAATTTGTTTTGAAAGATTTTAAGCCCCGAGAGCCGATGTTCGCATTATGAGGGTAAAAGAAGTGCTGACGCAATGCATGGATCGCGTTTGGAAAGTGCTACACGTTCAATATTTTGTATATTATATATATATATTTATTGACGGTATTGCGATCCGCGGTCCAGATTTCAAAATTTTTAGAAATTCTGCGATATGGATCACGTTCCATCAATAATGCATGCTACACCGTCAATATATATCGCGATACTTGGATCACGTCAAAAAATACTGACCGTGTGACAGGGTCCTTAGATTAAACCAGGCAGATCCACGGTGCAGCGAACAAAGGTGGCGCCGTCAGTGGTACCGCTACTTTGGTTTTGCCGATTTTGACAGTTGTGGTAACTTGTAAATAAACCTTTGTTTACAAATCAGCGAAAGAGAAATTTGAATTATAAGTGAAAAATCAGTTTAAAACGTGTTAATTTGCAATTTGTGAGTGATTTTTGAGTTGAAGACTGCGTAAAAACTAATACAATGAAGTGCTGTGTGTTAAATTGCGACCACCGTCAAGATGCAAGAAGCGCAGATGCAAGTGTAGCGCTGGGACGAATCGCTGCATTTTGTGTGCATAGGGCACGGCAAAGCCGTTCCCGAAATGTTTCTCTATTATTATACTAAAAGCATTTCCTCACAATGATTTTGTTTCTTCTCCACGCAGCCTCCATTAGCTAGTTAACTAATCAGTCCCGCAGAGACGCTGCTGCAGTTTTCTGCAGCAGCCTTAATTGCAAAGCAATGGAGTGCACTAAAACGTTTGCTGAAGCAGCCTCAATTGCATACAATGTTCACTGTTCTCTAATAGATTAGGTGAAAAATGCAATATTTTCGCATTTAGCAAAATTAAAACACTTTTTCGCAGTAAAGTGAACTGCCTTGGCTGTTTCTACTCGTTCTTCTTTTCGCTCTATTCTCTGTTTACTTGTGGTACACAAATGTCAACGCCCAGGACGGCGCAATCTTGTATTCTGTCATTCTTGAGGCAGATCGGGCGTTTAAACTGAGTTTAAACCACGGCCGTACACTGAAAAACTTGCCCTATGTGACAATTATCCGTAAAGAAACATAGCTATTACTTTATTTGATATCGATAGTCGATATCAACTTATGCACAAAATACCGTTGATGGGAGGTGTTTACGTTCTTGACGCGACAACAGATCTCAAATTTATAATTTTCATCTGCTTGATTTTCACAATCCCTGGTGAAAAAGGTGCGTATTCCATATATTATTTACTTTATTCTAAAACTCTCTTCTGAATTAAAGATGTTAGCAAGCGAGGATGCTGATCCCAATGAAGATTTCCAATTACTGCTACACAAAATATCCGAGCAAGAAGATGACATAAATTCCAATTTGGATAGTTTACTATCCAAGCAGTCACTTATCGAGTCAAAAATGAGTGCGTTTGGCCATTTTCTCGGTTCCTTAAATTCCGTGAACGCAGATACTAAAAAGTTAAGTCTACAAATTTCTCATACCGCTAATTTAGCCGAATCTGTAAGTGCTAAGGTACGTTGTGTAGACTTGGCTAGAAGCCGCGCATCTGAATGCCAGCAACGTGTACATGATTTAATAGATTTGCAACTTTGTAGCCACGGTGTACTAAAAGCAATAGATGAGGAAGACTATGAAAAGGGATCAGCTCTGATTGGTCGTTTTTTATCAATAGACCAGAATGTTTTACAACGGACAGCTGGTGATGTCGGCTCAAGTGGTTCTGTTACTTCTGTAAGCGATGCTGTTCATACACTAGAAAACGCCACTGCAAAAATGCGAAAGCTTGTAGAGCAACGCTTCGACGAAGCTGTCAACAAAGATGACTTGGCTTCAGTGGAGCGATTTTTGAAATTATTTCCTTTATTAGGGATGCATTACGATGGCATCGAAAAATTTGGCAAATACATTTGCATGAAATTAGCTATTAAGTCAGAAAAGGAAGTACGTACTTCACTGGATATAGCTAAGGCAGAGAATCGTTTGCCAGTAGCGTTTGCCGATACTTTAACGTCTTTATTAGAGAATTTCGCCCGTGTAATTGAAGTAAATAAGCCCATCATAGAGGCCTATTATGGGTCCGGCTATCTCATAACTTTAGCGATATTATTACAAAATGAATGCGACTCAGAGGTTAAGAACGTTGTTTTGGAATTTAATAAAAATAGGCGAACACATGATATAATTCAACAAATCAACGACTACAATCGTTCCACAGGCGGGAGTATGCCATCGCTTAGTCAATATCAAAAGCAATATGTTAACATGGAAAAACCTCAACTAAAGGACATTGACCCAATCATTGTAGAACTAACAATCATGCACTCTCGTGTAGAATTGTACTTCAGATTTTTAAGGCGTAAGGTGAAGTTAGACATCGACGCCAGTAACACAGAAGAAATTGAGAAAGAACGCCAAACACAACGTTTAACATCGCTTTTAAACAATTCAGATCTTAGTCGTCAAATGCAGGAACTGCTCAGCACATATCTGCTACTCGAGAGACATTTTATGGAAGAAAGCGTATATAAAGCAATAGCTTTGGACACTTTTGAAGCTGGTCAACAATGTTCATCTATGGTGGATGATGTTTTTTATATTTTACGAAAATGTATTCGCCGGTCGCTAACAACGCAATCAGTAAACGGGCTATGCGCAGTGATCAACAATGCGGCTTCCTGCTTATACAATTTTATAAATGCTTTGAAAATTCCACTTAAGAATGGATATCCTTCCGGCTACACAGATTTAGCTTATAGCGCCATCCAAAGTGCAGTACAGCATGGGAAATTGCAATCCAGTGACAGTGAAAAGGCCCGCACCAACTTTATTAACCGCTTAAATAATGCTGATATGTCGACC